CTTCGACGTAGAAGTCTGTTTCGTTATTATAAAAGCGATGAGGTTCTAAACAGTGAAAAATGTTCTAACTCGACACGAGAAGAGACACTGAAAAAAAAATCTTTAAAACAGACAAACAATTGACTTTTAATCATGGAAAAAGTCTATAACATGCGTGTCCCAGTGTCTTTACCTGTTTGTGCTATACTGGTTTTAAATTCCTCGCACTCGGTTTCCACACCTTGCTTACCTTGAATCTCGTTTTCAGAGCCCGCGCGTTTTTGGTCAGCGGTGACTAGAAAATCCTTGTTCCAGTTTGATTGTGCGCATGTGTTCAACTTCAATAACGGATCTGAACATTCGTTAGAAGAGTAACCGCTGTAAGTAATGTTGGCCCGGCTTCGATTTACAGAGGAATCGATTTCTTGGTTCAATTTAAAGGGACCGCGGCATCTGGTAACGAGATTGTGTCGACCTCGCTTGGACCTCGCATGGTATCAGTCTACTACAAACTCCCTTTTCATCGGGGATTAAGTCCACAAATTAAAATGTCCACACCAAACTCTGCTGAAAATCTAACTGTTCATTTGATGGCCCCGCGTCCAGACGAGTGGACGCTTTTCTCTTTAATTTGAGACCTACCTGGATCCTATATACTTGCCAAGGGTGTTCTATGTTTTAACAGATCTTTAACAGCACGAGAAGGACATTTGAAAAAGAAACGCTTTAATGCTAAAGAGATCCTAACCGTCGCGTTACATGATACAACTGACTAAGGAGGCATAAATTACGACATACTTATTCATGTTCTTATTCACTCATCCACATTCTTGTACGTGCATTCTTGAACATTTTATACATAAATTAGCACATTATCACACCCTTTTATAACAAAAAAAGAGTCCTTAAACTATAACGGTTCGCGTTGTAACACACTATTACACACTCTCTTCAATAACGGAAACAGTCCTTAAGTTGCAACAGTTCATGGCTTAGGCAATTAGGTCAAAACATAGTCCTCAAGATGTTCTGGGACTCTGCGGACGCGCTGAGACCGTCTTGGCTCAGGTGCTTTCACAGGTGTTGCAGGCGGAGGTACTTCAGTCGGCACTTCAACTGCAGATTGAGAAGGCAACTCATTGGTTTCGGTAACAGACTCCACGGGCTCTTGTGGCTGAGGCTCGTTACACTGCTCAGGTTGTGTGTCATTGGTCGTAGCAGCAGATACGTTGGTCTTTCTAAGATGAATTCTGTTCCTGCGAAGAACGCCTTGTGGAAGTTCTACTTCGTAGGATCTTTCACTCGAGCGATTGTTGACAACTCCTTTCTGCTATTCCTTCTTTCCAACCTGCCATGGCTGAATTCTTACAGCATCGCCTTTCTCCAGAGGGTCTAAGTCACGGGCGCCTCTGTTGTAATAACGAGCTTGCTGTTGCTGACGCAGGCGAAGCTTGGGTTGGGTCTATCTTCATCAACTACGAACGGCTTTAATAAACCAGCAGACATGGGTAGAAGACTTCTTGTCCTTCTATTAAGAAGGCGCTGAGCTGGGCTGATTTGAATTACCGCCGGTGGTGTATTCCTGTAGTCAAGCAGAGCTAGAAACCCATCTGAACCAGCCTTCTTGCACTTCAAGAAAATCTTCTTGGCTTCTTTCACAGCACGTTCTGCTTTGCCACTGGACTGACTGACTGACTGTGACAGGCACTGCTTGTACGGTGATCAAAGTCCTACTCACTAAAGAATTTCAGGAAATCACTATAAGAAAACTGTGGTCCGTTGTCTCTGACTAGCTGTTCCGGTATGTCGTGCCTCGCGAAATGCGCTTTGAGCTTCCTGATTACAGACACCGACGTTGTGCTTCTGAGGTGGTCAAGTTCAAAGAAGTCACTGAAATAATCGGACGTCACCAAGTAGCTCTTTCCCTCTAACTCGAAAAGGTCAGCTGCAACGTACTGCCAGGGCCGACTAGGCGTTTGGTGACTCTTCAGTGTTTCCTTGGTCTGGCTTCGCTCGTACTCTCTACAGGCTTCACAGGTAGATACGTGATTCTTGATATCGCCGTTCATGCCAGGCCAATAAAGACACTCGCGTGCTCTGTTAAGACAACCATTGACTCCCAGGTGTGAGTTGTGAATTCTCCTGAGAAGTTCGCCTCTGGCGGCTTTCGGGACTANGAAAAGGTCAGCTGCAACGTACTGCCAGGGCCGAATAGGCGTTTGGTGACTCTTGAGTGTTTCCTTGGTCTGGCTTCGCTCGTACTCTCTACAGGCTTCACAGGTAGATACGTGATTCTTAAATAAAGACACTCGCGTGCTCTGTTAATTAAGGCAACCATTGACTCCCAGGTGTGAGTTGTGAATTTTCCTGAGAGGTTCGCCTCTAGCAGCTTTCGGGACTACCACTCTCTCTCTCCTTTGAAAATAAGTCCATCCTGAACGGACATTTCGTCTCTCATGTTGAAATACAGAGAGACAACAGGAGGCAGGGCACTCTTGTCATCAGGCCAGCCCTGCTGAATAACGGCCTTTAAGGATTGAAAGGACTTATCCTTCTCTGTGTCACGCTGAATCTGCAACAGCCTTGCTTGAGATACTGGCAGATAGTTAGTCACACTGATAGTTTCAAATTCTGACTCAACTTGTACACGCGATGGGAGATACGCTCTGGAGAGTGTGTCCGCAAGAAACATTCTGCTCCCACGCTCATATCGAATTTCCAGGTCATATTTCTGCAAACGGATCATCATACCTTGCAGCCTCTTTGGGGCACTATGTAACGGCGTCTTGACGATCGATTCTAAAGGTTTTTGGTCAGTGTGGACAATGGATTTTCGACCGAACGTGTAGTCATTGAACTTCTCCACTGAGAAAACAATTGCCAACATTTCTTTTTCAATTTGCGCATAACGGGACTCAGTTTCCGTCAAGGCTCTACTGGCGTACGCTGTGGGGTGCCCATTTTGCATTAGAGCCGCTCCAAGTCCACTCTGACTGCTATCACACTGGACTTCCAGAACTTCAGTGGACTTGTAGTACGCGAAAACGGGTGCAGACACAATGAGACTCTTGACGTCATTCCATGCTGTTTCTTATAGATCATCCCAGCACCATACTTCATCTTTGTGGGTAAGATCTCGGAGAGGCTTCATGACATCAGACAGATTAGGGAGAAAACGACTTAGGTAGTTGACCATTCCATTAAGCTGGAGTTTATCGTCTCGTCCCTCTGGACGCGGCATCTCGACGATCGCCCTCACTTTCTGAGGATCTGGCTTTAGACCCTCTAGGTAAGCAGGTGTCCATGGAATGGAACTTCCTTAGCTTTCAACTCTAGTTTCTGACAGTTGAGCTTGATGCCTTTCTGCTGACATCTGCTCATAAACCGTTCTAGATCGCTGTCATGATCAGCCTCGTTTATGCCATGGATTAAAACATCATCTGCAATGCATTTAACACCGGGAAGACCATGTAATTCTTGATGGAGATGTTTCTGAAATATTTCACTCGAAACGCTGAGACCAAAACTTAACCGAAGCCAACGATATCGCCCATATGGCGTAGCGAAGGTTGTGAGCATGCTAGATTCTTCATCCAGCTCCAGATGCCAAAACGCTGACGCTAAATCGACTTTAGTAAACAAACGTGCATCTGTCAGGTCAGGAAACAAATCATCGACAACTGGAATTTGGTAATGTTCCCTCTTTAAAGCAGCATTGAGAGGTTTGGGATCGATGCATACACGAAGCTCACCACACTTCTTAACAGCTACCACAATCTGACTGACCCACTCGGTAGGTTTGTCAACAGTGTGACCACAGGTTTTTCCGGCAACCTGTAAATTTCGGACTGAACGGACACTTGAACAGACAACTGGGGGAATCTAACTCTTGGAGAGCACTGCTTGGCTGCGGGAACGGAAATTCGTCACGATTTCCTGGTACACGAGGATCTACTTAATGGTCTTCACTACGGACGTCATGGAAGAGACATAACTTGGTCCAACAGTAGTTTATTCTGCACACTAACGTCGAGGGTAAAATTGACATAGTCGGCGGAGTAATCGCTGTAATCCTAATCGTAACGATGTAACCGATGTAATCGAAAAAAACTTTACAAACGTACTTGCTTGTATATCATCCTATACACGTCAAGTGTTTAAAATATGCTAATGAAACTTCAAGTAGACAATGCGAGCGGAAAGTACTTAATTAAGATAGCGAATTCTAATCAACACCACGAGGTTAAAAAATTAAAAATAGAGAGCTAAGATTAAAATTCACAGGTTGAGATTAAGATAGAACAAAATTAGGAAATTAAAAGTGACATTCTTAATTTGAAATTCTGAATTGGTGTTACCGACAGCAAGGGACATTATTATCCAATGAATAGAAAGCATTAAAACTTCATTAGTGAAAGGTAGTTCAGAGCTGGCTAACTTCCGAGGAAACTAATAAAACTTCATTACTGAAAAGTAGTTCAGCTGGCTACGGAAGGTAGATTTTAATAATGAAAGGAAACTCAAATGAGCTGATAACGAACTACTTGTTTTCTAAATGAAAGTTAGTGAAACAGCGTTGCACATGTTTAGGTGTATAAAGAATCGGCAATGTGCAAAGAAGAACATATAACTTAAGATTTCTAGTTGTTAACTGAAAAGAGGCTACTGTTGGTTTTTTCTATAAGTTTCCAAATAATAAAGAAATGTCTGCGGAACGGCGGATTTTCTCATAACAACAGGAGCAATAACCTTGATACTTTCCAGCCTTTTCAATTCCTCTTTAAACTTCTCCCAAACTGACACAGGTATTTTCCGTGCTGGGAGGACAACAGGCTTAGAGTCAGGATCAACTTGGAGATGTACTTTTCAAGGGAGCGTTCCAAGACTCTTGCTGAAAACATCTGGATACTTATCTATCAGGTCACTGTTCACATCCTCCACAACATTGACGAAATTTTCTTTGTGAATAGTCAACAGCTTCATCTTCTCAGTCGCATCTAAACCAAGCAAAGGTGTCAGGCTCTCATTAACAATCAGAAATCTGACCTTGAACTTTTCGTTCTTCCTGGGGTTCACGACCTTTAAAGCACAGGTACCAACGGGCTTCACTTTGGTGCCATTCCACCTCACTAGTGTTTGCGAACAAGGAGCGAGGTCCTCGCCTTCGGCATATTTGAGCGGTAAAATTTTCGCACTTGCACCACAATCAATTTGGAATCGGACCGGTTGCTGTTTAACTAACTTCTTCGCAAAAACAGCCCTCTGTTTCACAGCTTGTATCCTCACGACATTGATCTCTTCAAGCTCTTCTTCGCTTTCAATATTATAAACTGTTGTGAAGGTGAATTAATCAACATGACACGAGCGTGGGACAAAGAAAAATTCTGAGTCC